GATCGTCGGGATCATCATTCGCTAATTGTAATTGGCGCAGTACTAATGCGTCATAACTAGACTATCACTAACACCGTTCTTTTTCCTTTTTCCTTTTTCACATTTTTTTTTTTAGAAATATTTATTTTGTCATCAATATATTCTCTCCAGTGTGAGTAGAATTTTTAATGCCTCTTTGAATTAGAAGTGTGTCTGATTATAAAGTTGCGGATGCCTTAGATATATAATATGAATTTTCTTGTTTGCCATTTTTTAAAGACAGAGATAAAACAGAAATACAGTGTAATGAATTAATAACATCAAAACAACGATCGTAACATTTTTATTATTATTATTATTTATTTATATAAATCAATTAATGAATTATTAATTATTAATCATTCTTTAATAATAAAATATGAAGAAGCGGCAGATAAAGGAAGAGATGTATTGTTAAGAAACAGAGCAATGCTCATCTCAGACTATGAGGCATTAGGGGATATAAGATTTAGGCCACCGGAACCTGAGCTGGAATACATAGTTTATGTAGGGCATTCAAAAAGTTTTGAAGATTGGTCAGAGGGAAGAAAGCATTTTAGAGGGTGCATGTATCAGAGATATGAGAATCGAATCGGGCATCATATAAAAAATATAAATTTCAGGAGGATCCGAGTGACGAATTTTCCTTATTGAAATATGAAATGGATAAAAAATATGATACTTCAATACCGAATGAGTTTGATACTTCTTTACCTTTGGATAAAGGTTTTAAAGAATTTCAACAGAGATTAAATAAATGGTTGAATAGATTGGATGAAACAGCTCAAAAGGTCGATGAATTACGAAAAAACATGCAGACAATGTTTAAAGAAATTATGGAAAAGATAGAAAATTAATGAGATAAATGAGTATCAAAATAGAATTTCTTTTTGTTATTTATGTATTTATTTAATTCACTTTTTTTTAATAAAAATATATTTTCATCATAGGATAGATTCTTTAAAATTTATTTTGGTATGAAACGAAAGATTTATGCAAGGTTTCAAATACAAAAATAAAACAGATCCTAGTTTGCTAAAGTTTCACACTAAGTATCAAAATAATGGATACAGTATATAAAAAAAAAAAGTTAAATCATCACGCGCAAAGTCCGCTAATAGAACACCTTTGTTTATATAATGTTTAATTATAAAATCGTGCTCGTTTTTGTAAATATCTGTATACATTTCCTCGCAACCTTCAACCTTGTATCCCTTGTAAATAAATATTTATTAAAGCACCCATAGACATGAAGGAACAAAAGTCGCCCATTAGTCATACAACTTATGCTAATTTCACAGAACGGCTCTTGATATTCCTAAAAAAAAACTACAATTCTTACAAATTTATTAATTAAATAAGCAATTTCCGAATCCCTCATTCAAAAAATGTTCTTCGTAAGTTTCCAAAATAGGGTAGCAACGGAAGGTCGCTGCAAAGTTGGAGCGGTTCGGGATCTCTCTCTCCTTTTACAGGTTCTGATCAACTCACCCGAGTTTTTCATTAAAGATGATATTTGACGGAAAAGTGGAAACTGAGTTTAAAGATCGAGGTACGTTAGATACTTTAAATCTTTAAGCGATTTTATAAGCATGGAAAATACTGGATTTCCCATTGATAAATTTTCAATTAATTTACTTTACAATATTTGTGACATAAGTTATGAATTATCACAACTGTGATAATTAATGTTCTGATCGTCGTTCAATGAAAAATTTGCAGAGTTCCTCCGCAATAAGCAATAATTTGTGTCGAATATTTAAAAGGATTTTCGTAATACTTTTTTTTAATGCCAGCCATTTATTAATATGTTAAATAAAACAATAATTTTTTTATAAGATAACATGGAACTAAACTTTCGAAAGGACAAAATGATATCTTTATCTCAGAACAAATAAGCTACCTGATGATTTGCTGATTTACTTGGCTGTGACCAATATGACAATTGATACACTATTTATATATTATTTATACAAATATTCTAAACGTAAAAGTTATATCTATATTTATATAGAGCAAAATAACAAATTGCTACTAGATTTATTTTAATCTAAATTTATCTAGGCTGAGTTAATCTTTTATCTCGCAATTTTTAACAAAAGACAATAATCTATATAAGCAACTCTTTGGTTGGTGACGAAATGTAAGAAATGACCGCAAGATTAGTTTTCGGCTAATTTCCTTTTTAAGAATGCTCTTTCCATTGTTTTAATTAAGCTTTTTCATATCAATACGATCAACATTGTTTTCACAAGAGTTTTAAAAAGTTGGTGATTACGTAATAATATTTTCTTGTTTATTACGTCCAAAGTCTGTCTAAGAATAGCTTTTGCACATAATATTTCTTTCAATACCTAGGCAAGTGGTTCTGAATTAGTTAGACGTCCAGAAACCGCACGAACCATTTATGTTGGATATAATATACCCTTTGGGTAATCAATCAAAATGACCTGAATTCTGTTAGTCCAATTAAGAATAACGATCACTTGCAATTTCGTACTAGATTATTTTTCCCTTCACACGCAATAGCAAGCCTTCCAACATTTTAAGGAATCATTCAGATACTTAGTTCCACCTTTTCCCTCCCATTTACGTCCTTCTTGTATTGTACCAAACTCTAAACGATCTCCATGTAATCTGAAAACTCAGTCACCTTTACGACCAAACTTCTTTAGAACGTATGTTGTCCTATTATGATCTTTCATACCGCTAGAAGCCAATATCATCATCTTCACGCAATAAGATCAATGTTCTTATAGCAAAAAGCTGGATCGATCAACCGACCCCAAACGTTCATCTCATACCAGCCTTCTAGCTTTGAAGGAATTTTCTTTTTATGCCATAAAAATCACTTACTCCGATATGCATAATTATAAAGCCAAGATCAAAATGAAGATAATTATTTCATCTACAAATGATTCATAAAGAACTATTTGTAATTTTTTTTTAATCATCGATCGTATATGCTTTATTAATTCTTCAAAGTTTTACCTTCTAGCTTGTGAAGTTTTCCCATTCATTAGCATCATTGATAATAATAGAAGTTGGAACCTCCTTAACCGGTTAATAACCGGTTAAATATAATTAGGCCGGAACCATAAATTTGGACGGACGGTGCTAGCGAAATATTTGTAATCACAAACATTTTAATTCTGGCCGAAAATTAAATTTCGGCCCGGGTTATTCATTTTAATCGGCTAAGAAAATCTTTAACCGGTTAACAAGTTAACTTTCTTAACCGGTTCCAACCTCTAGATAATAGACGACTGAAGAAATCACTTTCCAACGTCCACATAAATTAGAATCCAGGGCTGAATATGCTTCAAATATTTTAAGGTAGATCATCGTAGACAAACATGAAAATAAGTTATTTGTCGCTTGCAGTAATTAATTATTTTTGAAGACTTAATCTCAACCTTCTTGTTTGAATAAGTAAGTTGTATGCGATGCGGTGATGAAGAACGTTTACCTTAATGTTCCTATATACAATACAAAATATTTTCCAAAATTTTTTAACGTGTATAATAAGCGATATACGTACTAAAAAAAGTAACGTAACTAACCTGAATATTTGATTCGTAAAATCACTGCTACGTCATGTTCTGTAACGATATTTGATTTCACACAGTAAACATGCTTATATTGAATTGTCATATTAAAACATATGGAAGCAATTTTGTACTCACAATTTTCACCACTTTTTCACTAAAAATTACTTTTATCGAATTGAGTTGAAATAATGTTCCACGTTCAAGTTGTGCATCATTATATTAAAATCAAGAAGCCACTGTCTGTTGTGCCTTTGATGACAATTTAACATCTTCCGATACGACACCTTCTAAATCTTGTCTCAGATCCCCTTCTGCTAAATCGCGCTAGGACGGTATTCAAATATTTAAAGATTTGATTACTCCAAAGTCCTTCGCTAAGATAATCCTCAAAGTTTCGATGTGATCAGTCTTACACAATTAAGTCTAGTGGTTATTAATTTGCATTTGATAAATTAACAAAAACGTGACGAATAATTTGCATACCATACAATATATCTAAGAAAATGTAAAAAATAAATAAAATTAATAAACCTTATTCAAAAATGAAATAATAAGAAAGAAAAATAATCATCCGTTTGACAACGACTTGGCAGACGTGACCACGCAAGGTTTTACAGGTCCCCGAAATGTTGTCATAATATATTTTTTTACTTAGTTCAACCACTATGAAGCTTACCTAATGGAAATGGTAAAACATAATTGCGATAATAAATAAAAAAAGATATGTGGTAACTCTGACGTAAATGAGAGATTACGACATTCAAAAGTTTGAATTCCTATTTTTACTATTTTATTGCACATCATTTGACTGATATAACAAAGTATAGTATACGTGAAATTATGTTGAATATATATTTTTTTATACTAAACTGACAATACCTAACCCAACCTATGACATTAAATTAACGTTCACTTCTAGTTAGGTATACCACCATACAATACTCCTTCGGTCGATCTTATCATATGCTGTAACTTTCTTCTTATATGATACGTTAATATCATACTTCTACAACAGGATTTTATATTGAAATTTTTATAATGGATCGTCCAGGAGCTCTCATTAGTCGAGTTGGTCGTGTAGGCATCCCAGTTAGTAATGAAAATAATGATTATTATCGTGGATCGATGATTAGCGTGAGAATTGAACGCTCAACATCCTATGAAAAGCAAATTGATCAGAAAATTGAAAAATAAAGGTTGGAAGATGAATAATATAAAAAATTTCTTTTCTATCATCCCTGATCTCAATAGATAGAATGTCAGAACTTAAAAGAATGAACTATCAAATGGTATTTTTTTTAAGTGATATACATAACAACATTGTCCAAGGAAATTTTTGTTGCTTATTGGTTTATGATCCAATTTAGTATTCATGTAAAAAATAATTGATTTTCGTTTATTTTTTGATTTAATTATTTCATTGTATTTTGCTTTATTTCTATTATTTGGTTATTGTATAAATGCGTAATATAGTGTTTAATATAAATGTCTTGTAATTTGCTAAAAAGATTAATAAAATTACTATGTTGTACTTTTAAACCTTCCTCCAGTCCTCATATAGGCTCTATTTGTGATAACCAACTACACTATTTAATCAAATAAATCGTTTATTTGTTGAGATATCCCTTGGAAAGGCCTTCGGAAATTGTATTGTTTGTTAATTATCCCGTTTCGGTACAATTTCAGGCATAATAACATTAAACAAGTAAAACCCGTTTATTATATTTTTGGCATTTTGTTTTACAATTATGAACACAAGAAGTAGATAGAAATAATAAGAATAAAATTTATTTATATTAAAGTTTCTTAACAAAAAAGTCGCGGTATTCATTTCTTCGTAAAAGTTCGCTGCGCCATTAACATGTAAAATAAAATTTCTATTATAGAACAATTAAAAGATTTCGGGAAATAATTTTATTTTAATTATTCAAATAAAATATATTTTTTATTAATTAAATAATTTAGACAATTTATATTTTTTTCGAGAGGAAGCAAAGACTGATTTTAAATCAGTTAGTACTTATTCTATACGAATTAAAATTTCTTCTTCCAGGAAGAAAATAGTTGATAAATCAAAAAACAAGTCACATGAAAATTGCTATTTAAATATCTTTTTTTTTTGGATAGTTATAATAAATATAAAAAAATCTTTTCTCGATCATATCAGTTTTTTTACAATTTATTGTTCTTATTGCAAAGAAAATAAAATAATGAAAATAAATACATAAGTAAGTCCGTTAGTATTAGTCCTTTTCCTATTTCTTATTATGTTCTTATAGGACAAGTTTACTTTTTTACTTAAAGTT